ACCCGGTTAATTTGACTATAAGAGTCCGGTTTATTAGTATTCGAAAAATCAAGATTTCAAAAAAGCTGACTAAAAGTATTTGAAAACAAAAATGGCTTGGAGTCACCCTAATACATATACATACACATATGTATTTGTAATGTCAATATGTAAATAGTTTCATCTGTGTTAGAAAGCGCGAAAGAAGAAAAACTGAACTATCTATGTATACATATGTATGTGATGTGAGAGAACAAACGTTGCAGGGAAAATCCGAAAATGAGAATTAAAGTCTAGTTCAGTACTAGTTCTTTATCGCCAAAAACGAACCACGCTGATAGTAACCAAAAGCAGCGAAATGAGCACTTTTAAAAAACTATTTTATTTTACTTTTTAAAACTACATCTCGCTAACTAATGAAAAGTTGATAACTCCACTTTTTGTAAAAAATTACATTTTGATGCAAGAAGCAAGAGCAATTAAAAATGCATTGTTTTCTAAAAGATCGAACTACCAACTACGAGCATTTTATTTGTAACCTTTTCTATTCAGTGATCCGCAAATTTTGCTAAGTCGAAAATAGTCACAGAATATGTATTGGGGGGCAATTGACCTTTCGTAGAACATCGCATTGTTAAATTATCTAGAACCCGAACTGGTTCGGTGCTTGTGAACACGGCCAACAGCGAATGTCACGTAGGGAAGTGATCTTTCCGGCTTAAAACTTAAGAACTTTTCGAGGCAAATAAATGCTTTTTAGCGCATAAAATATTTTATATATATTTTGTTTATTAATTTATTCGTTTTTGTTTTAACTTAGATTATTAATAAATAAGTTTGTATTGTATTTAATATAAGTCTTTGAATTTTAAGGATTTATATCCATCTCTTTCTAAACCGCAAGGCCTAGTAAATTCTTGATGAGCTTCATGAAACCATTCGTTGCAAACTAGAAAAAAAAGAATTCCGTGTTAAAGATAAGATAAAATTAAAGTGATTATTTAATGCAAATATCTATAGATTTTCTAAAATATGGCTATTACTCCAAAGAACAAAGAACTCCCAAAAATAAAATTATATGGTAATGGAGTCAAGTGAAGTTGAAGCCTTAAACTATTTTGAATTAAGAATAGGAAGGAGTAGTTGATAAATAAAATTATAGTTTTAAAAACTAAACCTCCCTATTATAATTGCCATTCGTACTGTCATCAGGTATGTAACTTGAGAATAGAAATCGCTGCATGCTAATAAAAAGAAGGTAAAAAAAAAATAAAAGCCCTTATGTGTCTCTAAATGTTATTTTAAAGTGGAGAAAAGGCAGCCTCGGGTTTGTGCAACAGATTAGGTAATGCATGATAGGCGTTTCAGCAGATCAATATTATGCTTTCTGAGGTGAAAAAAAACAAACTTTATTAGTCAGCAGTACAAAATTATGCTATGGATTTGAAATTTTTGTCAAAGTTTGAAAAAAAAGTGTTTGAACTTACTCCACTTTGAGCCCACTAATACGGGA